AATAACTCGCAAAGTAACAGTGAAGATGAAAGGTTTGCGAAATATAGTACCAAACCTTACACAAAACACGGTTTAGTATTTGAGAGTGAAGTTGCTTATAAAAAACTCAAAGCAATTGATAAAAGTGCTAAAAAGATTATCGGTCTATTTGCACTTGGAATAATGGATATGAAGGCATTTTTCAGTAATTACGATAAAGTTAAAGTAAAAGAATCTTATGATGAAGCGTATGAGAATATTGAAATAATATTCCCAAACATTACAGAATTTAGTATGATGAAAGATGAAGATTGTCTCACAGAGTTACATTTTGCAGACAAATTTAATACACTATTAGATGTAGAATTTTTTGATGATTAATCCTATAACATTTTTGTTATAAGATTTTTGTTTTAATATAACCATTAAATTAAAATGCCGTTAAGAGTAACTCCAAGAGGTGAAATTTTACCAGTATATACAGGTCATAAACTTGAAGTTTACAATATCTATGTTGATCTTAATAAAAAATGTCGAGATTTGAATTTATTGTTAACAACACAGAGTGAATATTTTGATGATGTATTTGAAGGATCTTTGGCTAAGGAAATAATGGAGATTATTAGAAAGTTAATTGAAGAAACAGATTTAGCCATTGATATTTCAGATATAGCCGACATTAGGCAGTTAAGGTACAACTTGTTAAGAAAAAAGAAGCCTGAAAAATACCCAGGATTACCTGAATTCAAGAATGCCTTTGTTAATCAGTTTTTCCGTTATAAATTAGCTGAAGATTTAGATTTTGATTCTGATGCAGAAAATGATATAGATAATTCTTGATCTCATAAGACAAACCCTGTAATAGCCATTCTTTATTATTTCAGGCTTTAGTATCTTATTAGAATATCTGCTAACATAGTACCATTCCTAAATAGATGTAGAATTTTTTGATGATTAATCCTATAACATTTTTGTTATAAGATTTTTGTTTTACTATAACCAATAAATAAAATGGAACCACGTTCTAGAGAAACTACTCCTACAAAAGAGGATTTGGATTTTATAGTTGATGATGGATATCAACACGATGAGGATCCAGATTACGTTCCTCCAAACGAAAAATTTATTCTTACAGGAGACAAGTTCACAAGATTAACTAGAAGAGCTAAAAAACTTGGTGCAGAATCACTTGATTACTCTACCAGAAAAAATAATAAATATATGGCTACACTTCCAGGTGGAAAGAAAGTTCATTTTGGTTCTCCAAAATATCCAGACTACTTAATACACAAGGATAAAGAGAGAAGAGATAAATATTTAGCTAGAGCTACAAAGATAAAAAATAAACAAGGAGAGTTAACTTATACAAATCCAGAATCGAGTAACTATTGGTCAATTAATCTTCTTTGGCCAAAAAAAAATTGATTTTTTAATTGTAGTTTAAGAAATAAATTATAATTAACAAAATGCAGTTATCCAGTTACGATCATTTAACCAAAGAAACCGTTATTTTTAAAGAAGCAAAAGAGTCAAAAGTAAAAGATAGTAACATTAAATACAAGCGTATACCAATTGAAATCAAATACCAAAATAACAAAAAAGGCCCACTTGTAATCGAAACCCCATTTCTTTTTAGCTTTGGTGTTAGTGAAAAGAGAAATCAAGAAACAAAAAAGTTAGTAGGATATAGTATGCCAGTATGTCTTTGGGCAAAAGATAGCGAACCAAATGAAAAAGAAAAAGCGTTTTATGGTGCTATTAATAGTCTAACATCTTTGTCTATAGAACATTTAGAGAATGAATACGGACCAGATTTAGCCTCATCTCTTTCCCCACCGTTATATTACAAACAAGAAGAGTACACTGATAAAAAAGGAAAGAAGAAAACTAGAAAAGATCCCTCATCTGCACCAGTTCTTTATGCAAAACTTATTTACTCAGAAAAATCAAAGAAAATTTTATCTTTGTTTAAGGGAAAGGGGGGAAAGGATCTAAATCCTTTTAAACTCATCAACCAGTATTGTAATGTGAAATTGGCATTGATAATAGAAGGAATTTTTATAAGTAAAACTGTGACATCTTTACAAATAAAAGTTCACGAGTGCTATGTTAAACCGCTCAAACCTAGAGAGTCTTTACTAACAGTTGAAGAGGAAGATGAAGAGCAAAGCGACAATGAAGAGCAAAGCGATAATGAAGAGGATATAGAGAAATTAGTTGAAGATTTAACTTTATCTGATGAAGAGCCAAATGAGTGAATAGGATTTTATTTTTAATACATTATTTGTATTAAAAATTAACCAAATCCTTAGAACTTACCCATGAGTTAAATTTATCAGGATAACCACTCCATTTTACTAATGCCATTTTCTTCTTATTATCTCTCTTAATAATCTTTTCTATTCTAAATGTTTGCTGTTTTGCTTTTTGTAACTCTTGCTCGTAGAAAGATCCCTTAACCTCTTCTCCCATCAGATCAACGATGTTATATGTAACAGGTTTTGTTGGCAGAACTTTATCAATCACAAATATCTCCTCTGTCCAGTTTGGTGTGTAACCTTTATCAAATACCCGCCTCTTATATTTTGAGATTCTAACTTTATCACCAATTGCAAACTTTGGTTTACCAGGTTTCAAGTAGATTAAATCACCGTATAAATTAGACCAAACTTTATTTTCATTTTTCTTTTTACTTGCTTCAACAGGAGTCATTTTTATACTTGAATGTCTAGCGTTATTGTAATCATCAACTAGTTTATCTATCTTATCCCAGTAAACAGTGTTGTTGTTCACAGTAAACATCTTCCACATTCTGTTTTTCATTGTTCTATTCCATCGCTCAATAACACTAGATTTTTCTTCATTTTCAGTGTGATACAGTTTAATTCCATCTCTTTTCAGAAACTCTTTGAAATGTTTACTGATAAACTCAGAACCTTTATCAGTCCATAACATTTGAGGTTTACGTTTACTTTTGAATACATTCTCGAATGCTTTACTAACAGTTTCAGTTTTCTTATCTTTCAGCCCTCTAATCCAACCATACTTGCTAAACACATCAATAACCATCAAGAGATATTTAATACCTTTGTTCCACTTACTAAACTTTTGCATTTCAACTAAATCAGCAGCCCAGATTTCATCAATCCCGTTTGAGATTACTGATCTTTTTTGAAAGTTTCTTGTGATTGGTTTGTGAAGTTCGTCGGCTAATTGTTGAGACCAATCACTACTCAACGCCGACTCGCGTTTAAACCAAGTCCAAGTTTTTGTTTAGTATTAATTATTGTTCTAGCCAAAGTATGGCCCCATTGTCTTTCTTTCCAAGGAATAGCATCTAACGATTTTACCATCTTGATGTCAGCTTTATTTTTACACTTTCGGTCATCACCACAAACACTATAATCAACATCATGCTGCATGGCAACAGCATCGGTTGGCCCAGTTGGTTGATCATAAATTTCTAATATTTCTCCGGTTTCCGGATCATATCTTACTTGGTTCTCAAGATCATTATAAGGGCCTGTATATTTATGCCCTGGCAATGTCCATCCACCTTTTGGTTTTGGTAATTTACCAATTTGCTTGTGTATATCAATCGCACCTCCATCCAAATCTTTTCTGTCAGTTTTATACTTTTTATTTGGCCTCACTTTTGTTGATAGTTCATCCATGGCTGTTCCAACAGAATCTTGAATAAATGGAGTGAGTTTATTAATTCCATAATTTACAGCTTTCTTCTGAAGATTTTTGTTTCTCATTAACTCACTTGCTCCATATCGCCCCATTTCAACTGCTTTTTTACCCATCCAAGGAAGCCCGTAATGTACAAATCCATCAACTGCTGTACCAACAACTGTATCAAAGACGCCCGCCCCTTCAGACGGGCTAATTAGTTTTTTGACTTTCTTTTTCCACTTCCAGTTTGCAGGGGGGTTATGGGGGGAGGCACTCCCCCCATTTTAACATATCTTACTTTTTTATTTCCACAAACTGCGCATCTACAAAAGAATTGAGTTCTACCTCTTTTATCTTGTTGGTAACCACTTGGCTCTGTACAAGGAGTTACTCTTTTATCTACGATACAATAAGTTTCTTTCATTTTATATAACGTTTAGATAAAAATTATGACTACCAGATCGAATTTTCTCAAAAGTGAGCTTCAAAAGATATACAATAGCCTAAACATGAGTTATGAATACGCTGATTTTGCTAGATTGGAAAACGATAATAAATTTATAAAAGTATTTGAGTTGCTTATGGAAATAAGTGAGAAATCTAATACGCTTAAAAATGTTGTACGAGGAAATTATTTAATTCTGTAAACTAATGCGGCGTAGCAGCAGGGGGTGTTGAGGGATGTCCCCCTTATATAATAAAAAAAATAATATTTGTTAAATATTATTTTTACATTACGCGGCGTAGCCAAGGGAGGGGGTTTCGGGGGAACCGTAGGTTCACCCGCCAAAGTATTCTTGTATGAAATCGCTGTTATCATCATCAAAATGTGGGTTATGTATTACATTTAAAATACTATTACCCCGCTGTCTCTCAAATAAATAATATAAACACCAATAACCACAGAGAACAGTACTGCGATTTTGTATTTCATCCATTGAGTACACAATAGGTTTTACAGGCCCTGTGTGAAAATAGTCTAATACTTCATTTGGCATTATCAGTCCAAACGGATCGAAATACTCATACAAACCACTTTCCCCACCAGCAGGGCTTCTATAACAAACCCAATGTGTTCCAGGACCTTGTATATCATCTAGATTAATTATTCCGCATTCTTTTTTTATTTTATGAGGTAGTCCATCACGACTATATATTCCTCTGAAATTTTTTATACCAAGTCTTTTTATCCATTCCATGAGGTCAAAGTTGGACAACGCCTTAATTTCAAAATTAAGTTGAGAGGGAGGGGTGTTAGGGGCCCGAAGGGCTTGTCCGTAGGTTCCCCTTATTATAAAATTGTTCCTAGTATGGGAATTGAGTTGAATGGGCTGTTTTTTCCTAATAGTAGACCCTTGCCTTTGGTCTTTTTTTTTTTAACTCCCATTCCTATAGGGTTGGACCATGTTCCAATAAAAGGAGGTGATTGATATGGATAACCTCCCCCATCTGTGGGTGGAACGTAAACATTTGCTGTATTAGATGACCCACGTCTATCAACCTGAAGCCCCCCACCAAGCATCTTAGATACTAAACTAATTGCTATTGGAATACCAATAGAAGCAAGTGTACCTAAAAATCCTCCTTCTATCTGTTTACGAGTTGGTTTTATAACTACTCCACTACCTGATTGATAAGCTTTGTTAATTTGATTTATTTGTGATTTGGTAAATTCTCTTACAATTGGTGGTAGCATTGGGAAAAACTCTGGTGTAATTGGTATACCGTAGTGTCCCCCCTTTCCGAAGATTTTATTTAATCCTATTTCACCAAGTGCAGTGGCAGCTCCTGTAGCTAATGCGGGAACAGCTTTACTTATTCCTTTTATTGCGAAAGGAAGAACTTTTGCTCCAAGAGATGCAAGTGATGAAAATAAGTTTCCTCCGTGTTTTACAGATTTTCTAATTTGAGTTTTACTTATCTTTATATCAGATCCTGTGCCATTTGCAATAGATTTATTTATTTTGGCAATCTGTCTTTTTGTCAACATTAACTCATCATTTCCTCTAAGATGCGAATGTTTTAATCGAAGAGTCAAAGGTGACTGATTTATTATCGCAGAAGCCAGTTTTGTCTTTTGGCCATCAGTAAGTTTTACTCCGTATTCCATATAATTAGACATTTTATTTTAATGTTTATATTAAAATCTTATTTTACGTGGTGTAGACAAGGAAAGGGGGTTATGGCGGCTGTTTTCCCTCACGTGTAACCTCACGCGGCGCTACGAAGGGAGGGGGTTTCCCCGTTTGATATAATTAGATTTTATCTTCAAAATCTAATTTTAAAAATTGCTTTGTCATTAGAACCTTCTAGAAGCAGGGGGGTTTTGGGGGGATGCAATCCCCCCATTCAAATGATTACACAGAATTTTTCACAAATGTGTAAAATGATGTGTAAAATGTTGTGTAACTTTAAAAGCTTGTGTAGAATGTTGTGTAAAAATGTTGTGTAACTTTAACAACTTGTGAAAAATTCTGTGTAACTTTAACAACTTGTGAAAAATTCTGTGTAATCATAACAACTTGTGGAAAATTCTGTGTAATCATATGCGGTGTATCTAAGGTAGGGATTCCCTTATGCACGAAGCAATAGTTTTCCATCTTGTTGTGATATTTCTGCTACTCTTTCATGCAAGACTAGCGCGTAAATATTATAATCAGCGTTTGGATTAGCAGATAATTCGTAATGAAATGCTAATTTTGTGACTCCATCTTTTATATCCATTTTCTGTTTAGTCAAATCAAAATAAACAAAAGGAAATAAAGTTTTGAAATTACTTCTATTAAGTAATGTTCCACCTTGATAATCATTATTTGCATAGACGTATGACATTACATTTCTAAAAACTCTTGACATATCTGTAGAAGGTTTAAAGTGAATATCGGGGTATTCGTTTCCATTTGCAACTTCCAGGTAACATCTTGATATATTAGCATTATTTGGCAGATCAAAAGTGTCGTATAAAAATGGATTCGCCGTTTGAGAATCAATTCTTGCCGTATCAATTCCAAAAATAAATACATGGCGTGGTTTTGAAATAGCATTTGTAATTCTAAAATGACCTGTCTGTTGCTGTGTATTATTTGACCTTTCAACTACTTCATTCAAATATGTCCATTTGTAAGGTTTAAGATAATTTTCCATATACAACTTTTGTCCTTCTGAATTAAACGTAAGTTTTGGAATAAAAAGTTGTAGTCTTGTTATAATAACTCTACAATCATCAGCAGCTTTAAAAATTAAATTTGCATCTTTTTCAATCTCGATATTTAACTCGATTTTTGTATTAGGAAGTAGTTTATCTTCCAATGCTTCAAAGAAAGAATATCTATTAAGAGGAATTTCACAGTTTACTGTGGCTGATACACCTAATAGTAATTTCCTACTATGAAAACCTTTATTATAAGTTGCTTGAGCAGGTCTTTCCTCTGCGGCTCTTGAAGTATCAAGAAAATAAAATTCGTTTGTAGCAACACTCTGGGCATATGAAGGATTATACTCAAGTAAATTTTTAATATTTACAACATGATTTGCATAATTACAACTATAAACTTCTCGACCATTTGCTAGGATACTTAATTTCTCTATAAACGAGTTACTACCATTTACAATTCCATTATGGTCAGCAACTGCTATATTTCCTCCATCTGCCAGCTTATTTACTTTAAAATCCATTGATAATCGTGCGTTATACCAATCAAAAGGAGTGGATTCTCCTGTGTTATCAGCTACAAATCTAAGACCTGTTTTAGTTTGGTGAGCGGCATTTGCTGGAGCCGCATCTAAAGTCTGTTCCAGGTCGTAAACAACGTCTTCATATCTGTCTAAATATTTTGGATTTCTAAAAGACTTCATTTTATTTTAATAATTATATAATTTTATGGGGGGAAGCCCCCAAAACCCCCCTGCTGGGGGGTACCCAATTTAATAATTGTAGAATTTTCTCTTACGTGTTGAACCCCCACTAAGAAGGTTATTCAACATTTGATCTATCTCTTGTTGAGATATTTTTTTAGCAGGGGGGTTTTGGGGGGATGCAATCCCCCCAGCAGGGGGGTTTAGCAGGGGGGTTTTGGGGGCTTCCCCCTTTGATAACATTTTCACTATTTTATCACCGGCCTTTTTGCCAACATGTTCACCGGTTTTTGTTGCGGCTGCTGTTACTGCTTTTTCAACGCCTTTTTTAGCAGCTTTTTTAACTGTCTTTCCAAATAATTTTGATCCAAACGATTTAAAAACATCTGTTATTCCTTCGCCATAAATATGTTGTTTTGTAAAACTACCCAATTCAGGGTCAAATCTCTTTTTATACTCTGATTGTCTCGTCATTTTTATTATAATAGTATATTATATCAATTCTCTCATCTCAATTTCGTTAAAGGGAGGGGTGTTGAGGGGTGCCCGAAGGGCTTGTCCGTAGGTTCCCCTTATTACATACTATGAAGTATCAAAGTCATAAACCAATCTATACCGTTGAAATTTACAGGCCTTCCAAGTGAATCTGTGACATATATTCTCATTTCATCAATGTGAAATGAAGAAACAGGACAATACAATGGTCTTTTAGGCTCAAACGTAAATGGATAAGACCTTGTAAGATTATCAGTTGGTATCACAGCTATGGTATTTGTATTTATTCCATTTACTATACTATCTGTTATTGCGGTTGTGTTGATATTTAACACATCAATCGAATTTGTGATATTTGGTAGTTTTGATCCATACTCTGTTTTTGTTATGAGTTTCTTTTCAAAACCAATTAGGTCTCCAAATTCTGTTCCTCTCAGATCAAGTTGATAATCACCATCAAGTGATATGAGAACTCGATAGGTAGATAACACAAAAGTCAAATTGATTAAATACTCCTTTGAACCTTTAGAATCCGTTGTGTGATGAGACTTTTGATCCATGTACTGATGAATGTAATCATTGATATCTGAGTAGGAATACATTCCATCTGTAAAAGTAATTGTTTGCCAGTTGGTTCCATCATGAGTGTATTTGATTTTATTGTTTTTATAATCACTTCTAATGTTGTACCAAGAATAAGTCATGGACAATCGATCAAGAGCAAGTTGATGTTTCTTTTCAGAGTCAAGTTTCAAAGTTGGGTTAAATTTGATAGTAAAATCACCAGGTCTGCTTGTTCCTCTTTTTTCTCTGTTTATCGAAGAAATGTGAATAGCTCGTTCTTCCATTTTATCTTATGTTTACATTAACAGCAGGGGGGTTTTGGGTGGGGTGCCCCGAAGGGGCTTGTGCAATCCCCCCATTATAAATAAGTTTTCAACAAGTCATTTAGCTGTTTTTTTGAGATCACTTTCATTTGGTTTAGAAGATGCGCTATTTGAGAAAACTCAGGTATCACACCATTATTCCCAGCTAGAATTGAACCACCAAGTAATTCAAGTCTGTTTAGAAGTTGATGTGGGTTGTTATAGTAAATCATTCCTTGTCCCATTTTATACTCAAGCGAACCTAAATAAAGTTCAAGAATGTTTTTGTATTTATGTAGTAAATCTTTTTGCATTTGAATAAATTCTATTTCCATTTTTTCATCTTCTGTTTTTGTTTTTTCTCTTCAAACCAGCTATTTGTCCTGTAGTAACTTTTACATCATTTTTACTTCATCACGTATTTCTCTAAGTCGTTCAGGGTTAGTATCAAAAAAAAACTTGGTCTTGGGTAGCCCATATCCTTCAGTACTCCTAAATCCACATTGTCAAGATTTTTTTCAATGTTATAACGTGTAGGTGATCTTGGTCTAGATGTTGATGGTGCTGCTGCTTCTTCATAATCACCTTCCAAAGCTGGTAATTCGGACATTTCAGCCAATCTTAAATTAGTTTCATTAACTTTTTCCAATCCTGATGTTAATGCAAGTTGATTTTTTTTAAGCTGTGCTATAGTCGCGTTTTGTTGTTCGTCGATACTTTTTTTAATAGAATCTTGAGATTTAATAAGTGGTTTAAATGTCTCTTTAAATCCTTCCCGCATATCTTGTTTTTGCCATTTTGTTGTTTTTATAACATCTCTAACCTGTTGAGTCAAAGCGTCAGCTTCAATTTTATTTCTTGCAAATTTTTTGAATTCTTCTATATCCATTTTATCTATTAAATAGATAAATGGAAATTCCAAATTATGATAGCGCCGATGACATTGATAAAAAATATAAACAGTTATTTCCTTTTATGCCGGCGGATACGTTTCGAATGTTAATCTGTGGAAACAGTGGAAGTGGTAAGACTAATTTGTTATATCATATGTTAATCAAACCACTGTTGCATTACGATGAGATTTATCTTTACGCACGTAATCTTGAACAGGATAAGTATCAAAAACTCATAAAAAAAATGAGGGAGTTGAGTAGTAAAATTGGATATGAAATACTTCATGTGAGTAACGATGAAATAACCCCGGTTACAGAAATTGATTACGAAGACAATCAAAAACTTGTGATATTTGACGATTACGTTTGTGATAAAAACCAGAGGTGTCTGATTGATTATTTCATTCAAGGACGACATAAAAATTGTTCTGTGGTGTATCTCAGTCAATCATTTTACAAAACTCCAAAAGATATCCGTTTGAATTGTTCTCACTACTGCCTTTATGAATTTCCGTCATCGCGAGAAGCAAATCGCATATCATCCGAATTAGGAGTTAATAAAGAATATTACCACACAGCAACTAAAAAACCGTATTCATTTCTATACGTTGATAAACCAAAAAAACGCATTGCAAAAAATTTTACTGGTAATATAAACTAATAATAAAAATGGGAATATTCAACGAACAAACTTTTGATCATCCTTTTGCTAAAGGAATTCAGGGTGCTCCAGGAGTTGGATTTAGTCTAACTGCAGATGGTAATTATGATATGAATAAAAAAAGACTCACAAATGTTGGAGCACCTAGTAATAATACTGATGCTGCTACAAAAAAGTACGTTGATGACAATTCTGGTGGTACACCGACAACATCACGATTAACAGTTGACTCAAACATTAATATGAAGGACCAATATCGTATTCTTAACCTAAAAAGCCCGGTTGATGCAGATGAGCCAGCCACAAAACAATACGCAGACAGCACATTTCTCGACAGAAATGGTTCATATACAATGATTGGTAATCTAAGCATGAATAATAATAAAATTATCAAACTTGGCACACCAACAGTTAATGATGACGCAGCAACCAAAAAGTATGTGGATGATAAATCAAGTGAATCAGTACCTACTTCAAGGCTAACAGTTGATTCTAACATTAATATGGGAGATCAATACCGAATTACAAATCTTAGCGATCCACTGGATGGAAAAGAACCCCCAACAAAAGATTATGTTGACAATACATTTCTTGATAGAGATGGATCTTACCCAATGAAAGGTAATATCAATATGGCTAATAATCGAATATTTAATCTACCAGCTCCAAATGGTAATAATCAACCAACACCATTAGCTTTTACAGATATAAAGTATGTTGCCCGTGATGGTTCATCTACAATGACTAATAATTTAAACATGGATAATAAAAAAATAGTTAACCTTAGACCACCAACATCAGACACTGATGGCGCAAACAAAAAGTATGTTGATGACTCAATACCTGATACCAGTTCTTTTATAAAAAAAAAGATGGAAGTGTATCAATGACTAATAACCTAAATCTTGGAAAAAAAAATAGTTGGTCTCAAAACTCCAACATCAAACACAGACGCCGCAACCAAAAAGTATGTGGATGATAACACAGGTGATCCAGATTTAAGCGATTATTTAGAAAAAGATGGTACCGTTGCTATGACTGGGAACCTTAATCTTGGTAATAATAAAATAATAAATCTTAGTAAACCAACCCAAGACAATGACGCGGTAAATAAAGTTTACGCTGACAAACTGGTTCATCATACAGCAGTTCAACCAAGTCATTACAACGACCAGTTTGCTTATCTTATGTCAAGCGCAGCTCAATGGACTGATGAAATAGATGATAGAACTAGTTTTGTTATAAAAAAAATAGGGGATTTAGCACCAAACCAAGGAAACTTTCACGATTATAACCACAAAGTTATTTTTCTGGGTATAAACAAATATTCCCAAGGTGGCTATAAGTACAAAATGGGAATCAACTTTTACAGGTTAACTGCTAATACCGAATACACACTGTGTTTGGAAATACTCAACACTGAATACGCTTTATGGCATAAGTCTCAAATAAGTGTAAACAAAGAAACTTCAACAGGATTATCAATTGGAAATGTTAGTGTGAGGAAACTATCACATAGGTACACACAATCAAATGGTCGAGTAGCATTTATGTATTATCACAGAATAATAGTTAATTTTAAGAAGTTGTCAACTGGTAATAAGTTCTTTCTTCATTTTTTGGTTGATATACCACAAACTGGAACTGACTTGGCTACTTATCCGAGTCAGTTTTCAGGTGTTTATTTAGTCACTTACGGAATTGTGGGAACATTTAGCAATATCGATCCGGATAAAGTTTATGACTACCACACCGCATTTGATATCAAACCAACAGAAGTTGTGTTCAATGTTGATATAAATGCAAATAATAAAAAAATATTAAATGTTAATCTTGATAGAAATAATGTTAATAGCGCAGCAACAGTTGGAATGGTAAAGGAAATAAAACCTCACACTATAAATGATTTATACAGAAGTTATTTCGAAGATGTTTACGATTTTACTAATGCCACTAATTACAAATTGAGTAGAACCTCATCAGGTATTGTTTTCAGATATTTATCTTCAAGTAGTGGTGATACTTTAAGAGAAATAGGTATACCTCTTAGAACCATAGACGATATAAAAAAAGAGGGTCTAAATGTTAACAATTATAATATTAGTTTTTCTCCTCCTGATAATATTACAAAATATACTTTATGCTTAATATTTTATCACTGGAGAAATAGATCATTTGGATTATATAAAAGAGATACAAGTGGTCGAAGTATTTTATTAACATTACGTTATTCTTCAGTTGGTAATTTATTATTTTTAGTTGTTAATAAACAAAGAAGTCAATTAACCTTGCCAAGTGATTTTAATGGAAAAAAAATTGTTATATGGTTGGCAGAAGATTTTAGCCAAAATATTACAAAAGTTAAAATAAGTAACTACAGCGCAATCTTAAGCTTACAATCCGTTAGATACACCCGCGAACAAGATTTTATGTTTAATACTGAAGATGGAATTTTAAGTAAAATAATGTTTTCACCAAACTTTTACGACACTAGTTCTGGGCAATATCATAAAGTTATGCTACAAGAAAAGTTAAATGGAAGTTATGTTTTATAGGGGGAACCTACGGTTCCCCCCTATGACCCCCCTCCCTTGGCTACGCCGCATAATATACGCAAAGGATAAAATGAAGGATAAAATGAAGGATAAAATGCAAGACATCTTTGAGTTCAATCACATTGATAAATCTCTGTCAGAATCAGATATTGAAACTCTAAAAGATTTTTATAAGCACTACCACAAGAAATTTTGGTGTTTTAAAAATTGTTACAAAAGTTATAAATTTCTTGATAATGTTTTAACTATAACTGGGATAAGCCTTGTAACTATAGGAACAATTGCCGGAGGAATAACTCTTAATCCTGTTGTCTTAGGAGTTATAAATGGTGCTGGCATTATTGTTGCGGGTATTGGAAAGAAAGAAAATGCCCAGAGAAAAATTGAAATGACAAAGATCGCATTTACGACTTATGAAAAGGTATTGGTAGAACTGAGATCAGCTCTTAGAGGAGATGAATGGGATAAACAAGAGTTTGTTGATAGGATGAAACTGATAGATGAAATGATAATTGACCAAACTCCTTTATCGGATAGATTTGTTAGTAATTATAACAAGAAGTTTATAATAAGGGGAACACCCCCTCCCTCTCTAGATAAATGGAAAAAACAGCCTTTCCTCCAACTAATTGGGAAAACTACGGATAAGGGGGTGACAAGATCCCCCATAAATAATCTAAGCAAGTAATAAATGGAGGAGTTGAGAAATTTAAAAAAAAGTTTTATAAAAAATTTTGAAAATACGCTATCTTCTGTTGGAAAAGATTTGGTAAAAGAAATGGAACAGAAATATAGCATCGACGACCAAATTTGTCTTGATTATGCGATGAGCCTTTGCCATAAGATTTCCAAAATGGAGGGAGTTAGCGCAGAAGATGAGAAAAAGTGCCAGGAATTTATAAAAATTTTTTATTATCTAGATGAAATTAAATCCTTGAGCTAATTTCAATACCAAGAAAATATTGAAATCTAAATGTAACGGAAAGAATATTTACAGCCATCGACCTTCGAATTTGCTGTTTTACAATGATTGTTCCCCTCGCATATCATACTAACTTGAGCTCTTTTTATTCCTAGCATTTTTTCAGCAGAGTATAAACTTTTAAAATTTGTTTCTTTTTTTGTTATCAAATTTACGGCTGTTACCTTTTTTGGATTTTTGCGATAAAAACCAATCTCTTTGTTGGCTGCGGCTTTTTTACAGTTTTCACTTGCACTGACGACTTCCAAATTTTTTATTCTGTTATCCACTCTTACAGAATTGATGTGGTTTATTTGTTTGTTTTTTTCAATTAGTCCATAAAAGCACTCGTAAACGAATCTATGAGAAGAATATTTTTTAATCTTATTTTCTTGTATATATATACTAATTTGAAAATAACCACCATGAACAAGATTTCCCTTTCTTGGTTTTCCTAGTTTAACATGAATAATTTCACCTTCTTCATTTGCCGCGTATTTTTTATATAAAGGATGTATAAAAAACTTTTGTCCATTTGCTAAAATAAAATTTTTCATTTTTATCTTATAAATTATTTCGTTAAGTCACATTTTTTTATACAAGCATAATATAAAAAAATGCTAAAGGAAATAGTAGCCTACGTTAATTTCCGCTTTCCCGCTGTTAAATCACAATTTTATAACGACAATTTTATTAAAGCTTGTCTTGTTCATGAGTATTTATACGCAAAATATTTTAGCCAAGTGATGGACTTGAATAGGATTATTTACAATCTTTCTCATTACAGGCATACTATAAGAACCAAATCTGGAATATTGGCTAATCATATGATTTTCAATCTAGGTTTTAGATCTTTCTGGAACCAATACAAACTTGGAAGAGGCTGTGTTTATGTTTTTGACTCTGGTTTTCAAGAAAATGAGGTTATTGGATACTTAACAGGAATTTTATACTGGGTTTTCCATTCTGGGGTGGTTCAAGATTAAAATTTTATATCATTGATATAAAATTTACTTTCTTAGTTCAAGATAACTTTCCCACCATTTGTCATAATATTCTTTTGTTTGAGATGAAATATTAAGTGAAATTTTGTTTTTTGAGCCTATTTCCCCCAAAATTCTATTTGCGACATAAAAGACATTAATCATTCTCTTACGGCTGAACTTTTTATTTACCTTTTTCATAACTTTCTCATCTATTTCCATTAACTTTCTGTATAATTCATCCTTTTCCTCTCCTGACAAATTTGGAATCTGTTTTATCTTTTTCTCGTAATAGTATTTCCTCTGGTAAACACTTTTCTTCCTGAAATATAATCTGTCGTACTCTTTTGGATCAAAGTAACCTAATACATGTCCGTTTGTTATTCCACATTCTTCACAAATCTTGTAACCTTGATATATCGTGAAATTTTCACTGTTTTCACAATTTGAACATTGGGGCTGCATTTTTGGTTCATCTAAGTTATTTTTGGTGTAATTATGCAAAATTTCCAAATATTTTTTTATTTGATCTTCTGATAAGGGGGGCTGCGTACAAGCCCTTGGGCACCCCTCAACACCCCCTGCTGCTACGCCGCATTGGTCTGAGTAACTCATTTATTTTTTAGTTTTTTAATTTTTAAATATTTTTTCATCTTAATGCCAAAGTATGAATTTTATCCTCTAATACCTTCCTTTTATCATCTTCGCAGCTAAGAGCTATTTTATTCACCTCTTTGGAATATATATCATGGTACCTACTTTGTATTATTTTCATACTTCGCATTTGTTTATCCCCCGTGAATAAACAATCAAAATAATGCTCAAATGTAATTCCTTTTGAAACCACAGACTTTTTTATTCCCTTACACTTCTTAACATTTTTGCCCTCTTCTATTTTAAAGCTGTAAAGCTTTGGGCGGAGGCCTATAAAATGTGTTATTTGCTTTCCTGCAACTTCATCCTTGAACATTCCAATTACTTTTTTGTTTAACCCTGTTGGAATTCCAGATGGATGATCTTTTGGATAATCTGATGTATCAAACTTGGATTCCACATCAGCTGTTATATCTTTATAAAAATCTTCTGTTTGAATTTGATACATAAGGGAATCAGTATCCGTAAAAAGTAACTCAGCTTTTTTTCCATATTTTGGTTGTATATATTTATAATGAAAATCAAACATTAATGTTTTGGATAAGTCTAATATTGCTTGTCCTACGTATACTGGTTTGTTAAAATAAATCTCTGTTTTTTTCATATGGACTGCAATTAGATTTTTATCAAAAATTGTAGCTCTTTCAAAGTTAGGCTTTTTTGAAAGTTTGAGAGCTGTTTTACGATTATCAACCAGTTTTATATTTTGTCTTTTTCTAATGTTTTCTATTGTTTTGCCAAAAACTGAATTATTCATAAGTTTGAAAAAGTCTTTCTCAAAACTGTTGTCGGCTTCTTTACGCAATTCTGTATTTTTTCTTATATAAGGCTCCATCCAGGGGGACTGCTCGAAAGATATTCCTCTATTAACTGCAGTTATCCTCATTCCCATTTCAAGATATTGCCTAAGATTTCGGTAATGGACAACGTAATTTTTTCTTGGTTTAAAATGGCTAATTAGTTTTTCAACCCCATTAACATTCATCTTTTCAGGTGCAAGAGGATAATCATTATGTGTTTCCCATAGTTTTTCAGGATAGGCCAAATCAACTTCAAATATATACCCTATTTTTCCTCGATTTGACATGCTATGGTTTATTTTTTCAAGAATATCGTAAACTTTATCTTTAGTAAGATTTCTCATCCATTTAAACCCATGTGTTGGAAGATTTTGTGACATCGCCCAACCATAAAGATTATTAGCATCGAGGTATTGAATGTATGTTGAAGTTTTTTGGGTATCAAAAGATTTCATGTATTTGTTGTTAGCTTCAGCGTATCTCTTTGATATGTGAGATATACCGCCACGTATTCCCCTTTCAAACATCATTAACATATCGTAATCATCAAGTAGTTGCAATTCCTGTTTTGTTTCTTTAAGACAAGCATCCCAAGCAAGACCAGGCGATGTGTAATAATGAGCTGGATCAAGGTTGTAATGTTTCATACAAGTTTTCCTAAAATTTTCAAACACGTCAGCGAGAAGTAGCACATCGGATTTTAAATAAAGATCGTGGTAATCTCTAATTGTTTTACAATTGAAAGTATCCCATACTCGAATAGCATGATAATAATCTTCTTCACTTATATCCTCATCATTTAGCTTTGAATAAAATTCTTCCTTTGGTGGAAGCTGTGTTTCTGTTAGTTTACTAAGATTCGAAACATAATCATAAGGAAAAACTCCCTTACGAGTAATTAGATCTACATTCTTCTTAAACTCTCGTTTTGTATTATAAAAATCATCTTTTGTAAATTTTTAACAAGATTAGCAAGAGATGTTTGAAGAAACTTATATGAATCTATAAAACGAATTTCAAAATCTAAAGAAACCATTTTACCTGTTTTTCTTGATCTGTACTCACCAACTTTTATATATTTAGAGAAGGAAATGTATTTCTCTTCAGTAGATGGAATGCATCGTAATTCTCCTGGTAAGCTTGCCAGTTGCTTTATAAACAAATGAGAATCATACCCCTGAAGATTATGAAATATAACTGGTAGTATTCTTGGTTTTTTACATTTAAGATTACACTTGTTGTGAGCAGCACCTCTATACTGACCTGTAAAATGGCAATGATCCCTAACTCTATCCTCTAATAATTCCGTGTTGCAAATATGACAAATTTTCGCTTTATCAAATGATTTTTGTTGGTCTTGGGTAAGTTTAAGAGGTTTTGGCTGACAATAGAAATCGTAATAAATAGCTCTTGTTAATTCTGAAATTTTTTCTATAAATATTCTCGCTACATCATCATCTTCTTCTTTTTTAGTATAAGTAATTGGCTTTATTTTTTTATCAACAACTCCTTTAATAAAAATACAAAACCCTGATGGTTCATGTTTTTGATAGTCATATCTATAAGAATTTTCTGGATTAGGACTGCAAGTGTTCATTGGTTTAGTAAAACACTCGAAATCAGCATAAGCTACAAAAGGAATAGGAAGTTGTTTGTGATGATTTACAAATTTTAAAGTCGTTTTGTCTGGAGCTGGCATTCTAACATAAGCTGTCCCATTATTCTTACAATAAAAAATATGTCTTTTTAATAATGATTCTTTTGTGAATCCATTGAGACATCTTTTACAAATATGAATTGGTTCATCTGTTCTTTTTGTAATCTGCGATCTTAATAACCGAGAAAAATTTTTAATCAGTGAATAATGGCATTTCCCATTCTCCTCATAAAGAAATAAATCTATTGAATTTTGAGGATCACGTAATGCTAACCTTAAAGTATAAAACTTTTTCTAGAATTAACTGAGAATACATTTATGCCTGGTATGTCTGGATTAGCATTTTCAAATTTTGTTATATCATTGGTTTTAACTGGAAAAGTGAATCCTTTTGGAATTTTAATCTCATGCACATATTGTTTTAGATCTGCTAAACGTCTATCATTCCTCTCTCTTGGATGAAGATAACGTAGTATGCACCACAAGAAACACTTATCATCTTTATTCATAATACTAACAATAGCTTTCTTCCTCATAATCCAATCTGGGAGAGGAATGTAGGATGAGCCTTTCAAAGGATCAAATTCAACGGTATGAATCTCAAGTTGATTTACTTCTTTAAAATACCACCCGCTACCATTCTGTTGATAGACATAGATCTTATCTGCGATGTTACGGATAATTTTTTTTAAAAAACTTTTACATCAGTTGATACAAGATTAATATAAGTTTCTGAATGAAAAAATGCTCTGTCTTCAACTTCAAATCTTTGTTGCGGGCCTACTTCCATTTTTCCCATAATACAAACCAAGATAAATTTTACTTTTGTATTTCTATGATTTCTAAGAAAATTTTTAATAATAGTTTTTTTATTTTCAAAAAACTCTAAAGGAGTAATTCCAGGTTCTCCCTTTATTGTGTATTTGCTAGCAAAATCTTCTAAAGCTGATTTCACTTTCTCAAGTCCTTGGTTATGCTCTTTGATAGCTCTCTCAAGAGCCTTTCTAAAATAAGGAGGAGTATCTGCTGGAATCTTTTTATTTTTAATGCATTCTTGAAAATACTCATCAAACGTTTTTATCTTTTTGGTTTTTAATTTCTTTTTGGGTTTTGGTTTCTTTTTAATATTAACACCTTTTTTTATTTTTTGATTTATTTCATCTATTTTTCTAATATCACGAATTAGTTTTTCTTTATAATTTTTTCTTAGTAATTTCTTTTTCTGGTTTAATTTTTGTTTTAATTCAGCTATTGATAAACTCGAGTAATCAGCCATAGCCTTTATTATTTTAATATTTTATTTCTTTAAAAATCAATTTTATTTTTTGAATCACTCTGGTTGTTTATTTTTATAGTAGTTATATAATGAGCTATACCCGCTAATCTCGTAAATTTAAGGTACCCCCCTTGCGAAACAGGGTTGAGCAGGGGGGTAACTTAAAAGTAATGAGGGGTGAGCGGGAATAGCTCATTATATAACTACTACAGTGCACACCACAAAATTACTGGCTCTGTTTACCTGCAGCGGACGCCAGCTTTAATGGTGTCTCGGCTTGATGATCCCTTCCGTAATCCATTGCGCCGTTCGGACTCGCTCCGGCGTCTAAGAGAATCTAATGGGGAAAACCATTTGTAACTACCAGAATAACAATGAAATATATGGGGATTATGTGCTCGTAGAGAAGAATATCGACGTAGAATATCTGATCCATAACATTTCTTTGGTATACAAGAGAACGAACGACTTATAATTGACCATGATATAGTATTCCACAATCTGTTGCCCCATTTCGACTTGTTCCAACGTCCAGGTTAAATCTACTGGGTAAGAGCGTATTTAACTTCCAGATTCCCATTAACAGCACAGCAATTCACAATTTTCACATAAACCCTTATGGACCTTGTCAACGACCCCCAACGCCCCCCCTTCAAAAAAAATGCATAATCACTGTTCCCAAGTTTCCTCTGGGTATTACAGTCGTTTTAAGAGAAATCGATAATGGTTATGCAAAATTATGGGGATAAACAAGGTGCATTATGGTCTATGTGAACTCAACCCCAAACAAAAGGAAATCGATGCTTAGGAAACAGACCAGCTTTATCGGCTAAAAGAGATGGAAGAAAATGTATTTGTTAGAGTCTTGTCAGAGTCTTACTCTGTATAAAAAAAATTTTTGCTAGATATTTTAGTTAAAGCCTACACCCAAGATGATGAAATGTCTACGTGATTTACAAGAATCCAGAGTCGTGTTGGTCTGTCAACACCTTTGCAACCGCCAGAGAAAAAACAACAACAAAAAATACTTTATGCAAATGTATACCGGAACAGATTAACGACGGTGATTTTCAGACGCCTCTCTCCCCGATTTTTTACTCAGCGGAGGGGGGCGTCTGTACACAGGCTAATATTCGGATGCCATTTACCACTTCTGCAAAATTACTCTTACCTGGCAAATATTAACATGGCCTTTCACTGCGGCAAAGCACAGAGCGGTCCATGACTTGACCTCAAGATTAAGCAAAGGATAAATCTGCTGATTGTTGGGCACCTGACGAAAGCCATTACAAAAACTCATTATTATTGTTATTATTATTGTTAATATCCTAATTTGAGATATTCTCAACTTGAATGTTACGTTGCCAATTCACCATGTTTTTGAGGCCTTCACCTTGAATAGCCAGGAAAGCCATGGCCAAACCACTACATGACAAAACGTCAAGGATAGCCCGCCTAAAATAATGCGCCAAGAAGGAAGCTTACCCTGTCTAGCATTTAGGGTGGCTAAGCTAACTAAATCTCGGAAATTGTGTTGTTTTTCTTGACAATTTATGTTGTACCTGTGTATCCAGCAAGGCATGGTGCTCGATAAGCGTCTTGACAAGAGCCTCGTTACCATCCGCACATGCGCACATCAACGGAGTCATACCCTTGTTATTTGAGACCAGACAGTGATGTTAGGGAATTAGAAGTATTATAATCCCCCCGCCCCCACTTCCCGCGCGCCAAACTCTAGCAAGTCTAAACCGGTTGGGCATTACCTCCAGTATTCAAACCTCTGCGATGAAAGGTGTTGAATGACATGTTTAGTTTTAAATCCTTCACTTTAGAAACGAGAAGAAAACTGGGTCAAATTAACTTTCGCAAAGACTTCTGGGACTGTTACTGGAGACTGGGAAAAAATGGCCAATAGCTGACCGGCGCGTCCCCAGTAACGATCCCAGAAGTCTTTACGACAGCTAACTAGGCACAGATTTCTCCTCGTTTCTTAAATGGCGAATGGAAGTTGCTAAAAACAGAACTTCTGCATCAACGTTACATCCACCCTACGGTTATCACTCTGAGTAACTGCTAGTTAGATTGAGAGAGAGAGCAAGATTTACACGTGAAAAGGAAAGGTTGATCAAACCTATCAAACCTTAGTCAACCGTAACCCTATCATAACTGAACCTAGGCTATTTTTGACCAAGTTAATCACGTTGTAGTTGCTAAATTATACCTGAATGTTAATAGCGTTGACTTTTTCGGGTCCCAACATTGCCAGAGCCTGCGGTATTATATCACTTCTGCTGCTTAAGAGCATGCGCAGGCCCACGTCTTGGTGAAAGCTGACAACCGTTGCTGCGGGTGAAAGGGACCTGGGAAGGCATAACGACTCGCCAGCACTAGAAAACAACCAGATGCAAAGATAAGGAAACAAAATCGTGAGCTCGTCACAAACAGGCATCATTGATCAACCATGATGGATGCACTTTGTAATAATCAAACAAAATGGAGCTCAATCTTGCCAAAAGGGGGCACTGAAATATCCGATCACTTTGAATTTTGGTATATAATTACAAAATATATTGACAGACTCTCTACAAAGCTGGCGTTCTGTGGTTTCAGTGTTTTTCGACCCCAGTCAGAGAAGAAATAGTTTCGGACAAAACACGAAAAATATCCTATGCGAGGCTGATAGGGCTGATAATTCTGTCTTACAAGCTAATTTTTGTATGAAGGGATTTTTTCTGAGGAAACTGTGTTGTTGTGTGCGGCGGGGGAGTGAAATACAAAGATTTCGTTTAACTGAGTTGATAATGTAGCTTGGCCACCGTTGGGGAACAGGGGAGGGGGATTAATAACTTCTCAGTCTATTTACTGCAGCCTATTCAAATGATAAACCAAATGTAGGTAAATTTTGTATTAGCCTTGTAAGGTTGAGCATGATCGTTCGGGTGAACATAGTCCTGAATAGGACTGTTGTTGATAGTGACAGACGTTGTAGTCATTTTCAGAGTCAAAGTGAGTTGTATCACGTCAGTTGATGGTATTAAACTCTGGCTACCGACGTGATACAACTCATTTTGACTCTGAAGAAGACTACCGCACAGGTTGTCGACAGGTTAGTTATTGTCCACAACAGTCCTATTCAGGACTACGTTCACCCGAACGATCATGCTGGACCTACTTACTTCTGTTTCTG